AAACGATTCAATTACATAAATATATGCTATAGTGGCAAGTAACAGGGAGGACATAACTAATAGTTAAGAAAGCCTGGAAAAGCCGAAACCGGTTTGGCTCAGTGGATAGAGTGTCGGCCTGAGGACTGAAAGGTCCCGGGTTCGATTCTGGTCAAGGGCATGTACCTTGGTTGCTGGCACATCCCCAGTGATTCTCTCTCATCAATGTTTCTAACTCTCTATCCCTCTCTCTTCCTCTCTGTGAAAAATCAATAAAATATATTAAAAAAAAAAGAAAGCCTGGAAAAAATGATTTTGAAACTGATAAGGATAAGGTAAGGATAAGGATAAGGATAACTAGGAATCAGTGAGCTAGATAAAATCTTATAATGTTTGCCTTGGAGATTATAGGTAGCATGTCATATTGTATTAGTTCTCTGTTGTTAAGTCCACAAATGTGATGACTTAAAAAACAAATTTTTATTATTTCACAGTTTCTGTGGTCAGGAATTTGGAAGTGACTTAACTGAGTAGCTGTGATTCAGGATCTCTCATGCAGTTGCCATCAAGTTACTGGCTGGGGCTGCAGGCTCCTGGAAGCTTGACAAATTTGACTGGAGGATCTGCTTTCAAGATGACTCACTCACATGGCTGTTGGCGGGAGGCCTCATTTCCTCACCACACGAGTCTCCCAGCGGGGTGAGGATCTATGAAAGGTGGCAGCTTCCCCTGGAGCACGTGATCCGAGATAGAGCAAGGAAGCCACAATGCCTTTTATGATCTAGTCTTAGAAGTCATGCATCCTCACTTTTACCACATTCTATTCATTAAAACTGAGTCACCACGTATACCCCATACTTAAGGGGAGGAGAATCAGGCTTTACATTTTTTAAAAGAAGTAGCAAAGACTTTGTTAACATGAAGTAAAACCACCACATATGCTCAGAAAAATGACAAAAAAAAAAAAAAAAGGTGAGCATGGGTAAAATTAGAGTGAGAGGAGGAGAGTGAGGACTGATTAAGAGAAGACTGGTGAGTGATGACACTGGAAAAATTAGCTGGAGCCAAATTCCTTAGTGTTCTGTTAATCTTAGTGACTTAGTTTTTATTTTAAGGGCGATGGGAAGCCATTGAAGAGTTGTTTTTAAAAAACTTTTAACTAGTTTATTGAAGAGACTCCATAAACTATACAGTGTACTCATTTAAAGCATTAAATTCAGTGGCTTTTAGTATATCCACAGAATTGTGTGACTATCATATTATATAATCAATTTATTTTTATATAGTATTTTATTGATTTTATTTTAGAGAGGAATGGAGAGGGATAGATAGAAACGTAGATGACATTGATCGTCTGCCTCTTGCACGCCCCCTACTGGTGATTGAGCCTGAAACTGGGCATGTGCCCTTACCAGAAAAGTTTATGGGCCGATGCTCAACCGCTGAGCACACCAGCTGGGCTCGCACAATCAATTTTAAAGCATTTTTATTACCTGCCACCCCAAACAAACAAACAAACAAACAAAACCCTATACCTCTTTTTAAAAATACATTTTATTGATTTTTTACAGAGAAGAAGGGAGAAGAATAGAGTTAGAAACATTGATGAGAGAGAAACATGGATCAGCTGCCTCCTGCACACCCCCTTACTGGAGATGTGCCTGCAACAAAGGTACATGTCTTTGACTGGAATCGAACCTGGGACCCTTCAGTCCGCAGGCCGATGTTCTATCCACTAAGACAAACCAGTTAGGGCAACCCTATACATCTTCATTATTATCCTAAATTGCACCTGTCCGTAGGCAACTACTAATCTACTTTTTGTTTCCATAGATTTGCCATTCTAGGCTTTTCATATAAATTAAATTATATAATTATGACTGGATTATTTCACTTATGATATTTTCAAATTTTATTCATGTTGCAGCATATAGCAATACTTCATTTTTTTTAATGGTCCATGACATTGGATATACCACATTTTATGTATCAGTTGATAGACATTTGGGTTGTTTCTACTTTTTGGCTATTATGAATATTATTTTTTATTGTTGACAGTATTACAGATACCTCCTATTTTCTCCCTTTTTACCCTGCTCTACCCAATCCCGCCCACCCCAGGCTTTCCCCATATTATTTTATGTGTCCATGGATTATACATATATGCATGCATGTTCTTTGGTTAATATCTTCCTGTCCTCTTTGTACCCCGCCCTCCCCATCCCCCACTGAAGCCTGTTATTTTATTCTACACATACATACTTTTTTGGTTCTATTTTGTATGTCAGTTTATTTTGTTCATTACACCCCACATATAAGTGAGATCATGCAATATTTGTCTTTCTCTAACTGGCTGATTTTACCCAGCATAATAGTCTCCAGGTCCGTCCATGCTGTCTCCAAGGGTAAGGGCCCCCCCCCCCCTTTTTTTTAAATATATATTTTATTGATTTTTTACAGAGAGGAAGAGAGAGGGATAGAGAGTTACAAACATCTATGAGAGAGAATCATCAATCAGCTGCCTCTTGCACACCCCTACTGGGGATGTGCCTGTGACCCTTGACCGGAATCGAACCTGGGACCTTTTAGTCTGCAAGCCAATGCTCTATCCACTGAGCCAAATCAGTTTTGGCTAAGGGCTCCTTTTAAAAATATATATATATATGTATATATATATATTTTTATTGATTTCAGGGAGGAAAGGGGAGTGAGAGAAATATCAATGATGAGAACCATTGATCAGCTGCCTCTTGCATACCCCACACTGGGGATGCTAAATCAGTGGTTGGCAAACATTAGTCAACTGAGCCAAATATCAATAGTATAACGATTGAAATTTCTTTTGAGAGTCAAATTTTTTAAACTCAAACTTTTTCTAATGCCACTTCTTCAAAATAGACTTGCCCAGGCCGTGGTATTTTGTAGAAGATCCACACTCAAGAGGCCAAAGAGCTGCATGTGACTCGTGAGCCTCAGTTTGCTGACCGCACTGTTTTATACATTAAAAAGTCATTTATGTTACCCAGTTGGCATGGCTTAATAGTTGAGCATGACCTATGAACTAGGAGGTCATAGTTCGAATCCTGGTCAGGGCACATGCCCTAGTGTGGGATGTGCAGGAGGCAGCTGATCAACGATTTTTCTCTCATCATTGATGTTTTTCTCTCTCTCTGCCTTTCTGTACCTTTCTGAAATCAATAAAATATATTTTAAAAAGGAAATTTATGATCAGATCACCCTGTGAGGTTATTTGCCATAGAACTCCTCTCTTTTCTTTTGTCCACAAAAATTTTTGCACAATGCTAGTGTAAGTTTAATTGGGAATGAAAACAAGTATTTAACAGCTATTACGTAGAAGAGGAAAAATTCCTGAGACAGACTTTCCTTGATTTGCCATATGCTGTGTCAGTGTCATAGATTAATGCTTAATTATTCTTTCACTCAGAAAATATCCAGTGTTTATTTTGTACAAGGCTCTGGGATTGGTAGTGAGGAATATAAGGCTAAATGGGAGACAGAACCTATCTTTAAGGAATTGATGATCTTATAAGAGATATTATAAATATATATTTAAAATTAAGCAGAATGGCCGAGACCGGTTTGGCTCAATGGATAGAGCATCGGCTTGGGGACTGAAGGGTCCCGGGTTCGATTCCGGTCAAGGGCATGTACCTTGGTTGTGGGCATATCCCCAGTAGGGGTTGTGCAAGAGGCAGCTGATCGATGACTCTCTCTCATCGATATTTCTAACTCTCTATCTCTCTCCCTTCCTCTCTGTATAAAATCAATAAAATATATTTTAAAAAAATAAAATTAAATAAAATTAAGCAGAATGCTTCAAATCAAAATAAAAGTATAGGTTATTTTTGGAGGAAATCATCCTTATGTTCTCAACATAAACATGCATGTTTAGAAGTTAGCCATTTAGTAGACCAAAGATGAGTTTGGGCAAAGATATATTTATTTATAATGCATTAACCATTTTATTTATAAAAATCCAAGATGTTTTCTAAAATATAACTTTATTATTTCCTTAAAGGCTCACTCTTTCACCTAAGGAAATGCCAGCATTCATCTTATTCAGAGTGTTAAGTAGTAAGCATTTTGCCATTCTTCAGATTTATCTGGTATTTTATTTTTTCATTTTTTTATTTTTTAAAATATATTTTATTGATTTTTGTACAGAGAGGAAGGGAGAGAGATAGAGAGTTAGAAACATTGAGCCAAACCGGTTTCGGCTTATCTGGTATTTTAGAGAATTATATATTTTAACAAAATCAACTGTAACATAACCACTTGGGTTACAGAGAGCAGAGTGGGATCAGTAGACCTTGGTATTCAAGTTCATAAAGATACTCAATAATTCAGATTCTTAAATTTCTTCTTTGAAATAGAAAGATATATGAACTTGAATAAGAATAAGCATGATAGCCCTAACTGGTTTGGTTCAATAGCTAGAGCATTAGCTTGCGGACTGAAAGGTCCCAGGTTCAATTTTGGTCAAGGGCATGTATCTTGGTTGCAGGCACATCCCCAGTAGGAGGTGTGCAGGAGGCAATTGATGGATGTTTCTCTCTCATCAATGTTTCTAACTATTCTTCTCTCTTCCTCTCTGTAAAAAAAATCAGTAAAATAAATTAAAAAATTTTTTTTGTACTTTTCCCATTGCCTTACAATTTAAACCAATAAGGAAGGAGGAAGTGTTGTTAAATATTCACAAAGGCAGGCTGGCATTGTGAATGTTGAGTAAAAAGATTGCTTTGTTCTTCATTGGAATTGGACTTTCAAGACTTTATAATATTGATGTTTTCCTTCTATTGATGTAGGAAGCACTACTTAAAAAATATTCAGCTTGGGTGATGTCTTGGTGGCTTGAAATACATTTTCCAGTGTTAAGTACACTTCAGTTCTTATTGGTCAGACTTAAGATGTAATAGTGAAATGTTCAAAGGAATATCAAGAATTTATTTATTTATTTATTTATTTATTTATTTACAGCCTAAATGTACTCTTTAAGAAAAAAGCCTTATTTTTAAATACATAGCTGCTTAACTTCTATATCATCATCAATATAAACCCCAATTAATTACAAAGCAGTAAAATAAAGTCTGAAAGATAATTTTTAAAACACACTAAACATTTCTATTGATACATCTCTTGGTTTCTAGAATATTCTTATGTGGTTCTGCTCTACTTTTGTACGAAGCTTCTCAGCATGAGCTGGCGCTTTTCCAAAGATCCATGATATCTTTGCTTCTTCTAACATTTCTTGTGTTTCTTCTTGAGAATGGCTAATGAAAACATCACCAATTTGATATGTTATCATTAAGCAATCGTCATCTGCGAGCATGATGTCCTCGCAAGCATCTTCTAAGTTTTGGAGTTGTTTCTTTTTTACATCTATTTCTTCCTTCAGCTCTGTGATTCTACTAGTAATCCGTGCAAATTTGTTTATCTTTTGTTGATCTTCAAAAGTAACATTGACGTCTTCTGCAGCGGCCTTCTTCATGGTGGCCGCCATCTTGGGACTGGACCACGGCCGAGGAGGGGGGGCTGAGCCCGCGGGCTCCTCCCCGGCCCCGCGCACTCCCTGGGGGCCCACAGACCCGGCAAAACACACCGCCGCCTCCGCCTCCCCTCCCTTTGGGTCTTGCACGGAGGATATCGGAATATCAAGAATTTAAATGCAAGTTTTATAGCCCTGGTGAACATATTTCTCATGAACAAAATTAATCTTAATTTGATAGACTTGTTTGAAGTTCATAATTACTAGGATTTGTTAAAATAAAACACAAATGGAGATTATCCTTAAAGGTTCCCTGAGCAGAGAGAACCAATTTAGTCATCGATATAAAGCTTAATTTAGCTTATTTTTAAGACTTACTTGACCTAGGCCATTTCTTGCTGATCAATTTCCCAACATTTCTTGCTGAACTGTTTCCCAAGTTTGATAGGTGGTAACCACTGAAAATTCTAATATTTTAACCAATCACAGTGAAGAATAAAGTCACCACTTTCTCACTACAAAGCTGATTTATCCTATATAATAAAATGGTAATATGCAAATTGACTGTCACACTCTTGCACAAGATGGTTGCCTCCATATGGTCAAAAGATGGCTGCCTTCATGTGGTCCAAGATGGCTGCCACAAGATGGCCGGCAGGGGAGGACAGTTGTGGGGGGACCAGGCCTGCAAGGGAGGGCAGATGGTGGCAACCAAGTCGGAAGGGAGGCAGTTAGGTGTCCATCAGGCTGGCAGGGGAGTGTTTAGGGGGTGATCATGATGGCAGGCAGGTGAGTGGTTGGGAGCCAGCAGTCCTGGATTGTGAGAGAGATGTCGGACTGCAGGTTTAGGCTCAGTCCCACAGGGATCGGCAGTTGGACATCCTCCAAGGGGTCCCAGATTGGAGAGGGTGCAGGCAGGGCTGAGGGACACTCCACATCCCTCCCCCCCCCCCAAGAATTTTGTGCACCGGCCTCTGCGCATGCGCCCTGTGGCCCTCAGGCTTCCGGGCACGTGCGGCCCCTCGGCTCCGAGCACACGGAGCCTGGCCGCCTCCGAACCGGAGGACAAAGGGGTCTGAGGAGGTCAGGTGAGTAATGATATACCCCTGAGCTGCATTCCAAGTTTTGGCTTGAGCACTCCCAGCTTGCAAACTGTCTTTCTGGTGTGTGCACCATAACTTTTTACTATTAATACTACTCCTCCAATTCATTGGTCTTACTTTGGCTATTTCTGAACCTTCGACAGGTTTCTTCATTTGTAAAATGTCATATGTAATTGTTATTAGTCTCATTTAGTGGCTGTCCAGAGGAAGAATTATTAGGTTCTCAGCAATAGCTATTTGCATCTTGCGATGTGGGGTACTTAAAAACGTTTGCTGTTTTAAAATTAACAAAAGCACTAGTAAAAGTGGTTGCATCATAATGTCTTAACATTGGGACTCAGGGGATCTTTAAAAAAAATCACACAAAAGAAAAAACAAAAACTCTTTTCCTTTAAATTTCTCTGTGTGGTTGGTTTCATGAGAAAAATTTACCATCTCGAGGTCTCTGCTTACATTTTCCCGTTTCCTAAATCAAAACGAAACACGCTAGAGACTTAAGACTGTTTCCGTTGTGTGTGAGTGGACGTTCCAATTAGACCTAAATGAAGATAAAAATCCACTCGCAATTTCCCCAAATTTCTACTCGAATTTAAAGCAATTACTATGACAACACTGAAAACTAGTCTTGTTTCTTAGATGCAAAGGAATCCTGTCAGGAGGGGCTATCCATTTCTCTAAGACAAACACTGAAAACAGAAGAAAAAGTAATTGCAGGGGAGTGGGGGGTGGGGGAGAAGAGAAAGAGAAAAAAAAAACGGTTAAGAAAACCACCACCCACCACCACCAGGAAGTCAGAGTGAATCATTCCTGAACCTGAAAACCCTGACTGTTTGACGTCAGAACCCAGATGAAGTAAACCAGGAAAGCCGAGCAGGCTCGGGGGCGGGGGAGAAACAGGGCACCAGCACGGTGACCTCCGCAGGAAGCGAACACCTTTGCTTTCCCTCGGCCCCTGGAAACCGAAGCTCCCAGTGGAGCAAAGGTCAGGGCCGGCGGCTCCGTAAACAAAGGCGCGCACATTCGGGTGCTTCCGCCGAGGGGGTTCGGGCTGCACTTCGGAGGAGCCGCCGCCGGGAGGAACCTGACCTCCTCAGACCCCATTATCCTCCTGTTCGGAGGCGGCCGCGCGGAGCCCGCCGCCCGAGCGCGCCGAGGGGCCGCGGGCCGCGCGCCCGGAAGCCCGCGGGCCACAGGGCGCACGCGCAGAGGCCGGTTCGCGCGCCCCGCGCCGCGGTCCCGCGAGGCCACGCCGAGGCCGAGGCTGAGGCAGCGCCAGTTCGGCCCGCGGTCACTCCCTACGTGTGGCCTGCGGGAGTCCGGCCGCGGCTCCCGCGTCCTCCCCGCCTCCACAGCGGGTACGACCTTGGGCCTCCGCGTTGCCTTTGGGGCTTGGGAGAGGGTGAAGGGCTGGAAACGAACGGCGCCGCCGATTTCCACACACACATTTTGGGCTCCTTTATTGTCGTTCATCGGCGCGAAGCCCGACACGTTGAAAAGGGCTTGCTCCTCCATGTGACACCCCCCACCCCCCCCCCCCAACCCCGGCCCCCTAAGGAAGAGGGGAAACGAGTCAGGCTTTCGGGCGAGGTTTTCGGAAGGAGGAGGAGGGACGGGTCTCACGAGGCAGGGGCCGCCGGGCCGGACTCGCTGTCCAGCGCGGGCGGAGGGGGCGGGAGTGCCCGGGGGCCCGGGTCCGCGAGGCCTGCCCCGGGGGCGGGCCCAGGCGTTTGGCGGAGCCCGGGACGAACCAGAGGTCGCGGCGGGGGGAACGGGAGGCCGAGAGGGAGGGAGGGAGGGGGAGGACGGCGATCCACCTGGGCGACGTGGCAGCCATTCCCTGCTCCCGGAGACCCCTCCCCACTCGGACGCCCACCAGCCCGCCCGCCCGCCCGCCCTCTCGCGGCGCCGCTACGGCGGCGAGGCTGCTCTTCCCCGGCCGGGCGGAGAGCGGCAGTGTGTCCCCGCCGGCGCCCGCCGCTCGGCTCCCCTCAGCGCCCGCCGCTCGCTCGGCAGCCCCGCGCCGCGCCGGAGAGCGCAGTGGCGGCGGGAAAAGGGGCTGCGGACCCGTTGGCCGCCGCCGCGTTGCGCACCCGACGACGCGGCCCCGGTCTCGACGCCGCTCCGCGGGCTCCCGGAGCAGGTAACGTGGCGGGTTGGGAGGTGGGGCGGCGGCGGCGGGTCCCAGGCGAGGGGTCCCGCCGGGAAGGCGTCCGCGGGGCGCCGGAGGGCGGGAGGCGGGGGCGTGCGGTGCCGCCGCGACCGGAGCCCAGAGAGTTGGCGATGCGGGAGTCCGGTGCCGGCCGCCTCCAGCCCGGCCCGCGCGGGCCCCGGGGCCGGCGGGCGGGCGGGCGAGCGCCCGGACGGAAGGGAAGTGCGGCGTCGGCGGGAGGCGGGCCCTGGCGCACCGCCCGAGGCCGGGCGCAGGCGGGGGCTGCGGCGCGTCCCCCTGGCGGGCCTCCAGGCCCCAGCGCGGCCCCGGACCGGCCGCCTCTGCGGGTGTCTCGGCCGTTTCGGGCGGAGAGCGTTCTTGAGAACTTGGGTCCACCCGAGTGCGTAGTCGTAGCAGAGGTGTTGGTGGACTCACTTCACACGTTTTGACTCTGAATACTGCGGGGAGACCTTCGCTTCCCTCACCGGGTCCCTTCCCCCCAACTTCCCACCGCGAGCTAGATCCTCGCCGGGACCCTGCTTGACCCCTCCGGTCTCCCCGGACCCTCTCTCCGAGGTGTCCGTGTGGAAATGGGTTGTCCATAGAAGAGTCAACTTATTCTCGTTAGGGTAACACACTTTCTTCCCCGCAGAAGTGACGCTAAAGTAAGGGGGGGAAAAAAGTGCTGGTGCCAGATCACGATCTGTACGGCCCGTAACGAACCTCCCCTTAGGCCGCGGCGTTTGGGGCCGGGACGGGGCGAGTGCGGCTGGCGGGTTTGTGTACATCCCCGCGGGCGGTGGTGGCGGGGCCTCCATAGCGCAGTTCGGGCCGGGAGGCGCGATTGGCTGGTTTTCCTCCTCGCCGCGGTTCAGCCAATCAGGGCGCGCCTCTGGCCTGGAGACGGGCGAACTCCGAGGAGGTGGGGATTGGTGGAGCCGGGAGCTCTACCTGGCCTTTCCCCAAACTGTGTGTGTGTGTGCGGTGCCTTTTTGTGTGTGTGTGTGTGTGTGTGTGTGTGTGTTTAGCCTTTTCGTTCTGCTTTTTATTCACTGCTTGTGTGTGTGTGTGTGTGTGTGTGTGTGTGTGTGTGTGTTTAGCCTTTTCGTTCTGCTTTTTATTCACTGCTTTTCCACCCGAACACCAGCCTTTTTGCAACTCGTTTTAAACCCTCATCCTTCACTTGTCAATGAAGTCTTACTCACTTGAAATGTAAACATCATGTGTTTTGTGTTTTGGTCATCCGTGTGGTTCGGTTTTTTTCTTACGTTCTTATTTTTATTTTATTTTTCATTTTTTAAATTAAGGTATTGTATGTGTACATATCTTACCATTGCCCCCACCCTCCCGCCCCACTCCCATACATGCCCTCACTCCCCAGTGTTTTGAGCCCACTGGTTATGTTTATATGCTTGCATACAAGTCCTTTGGTTGATCTCATCTCCCCCACCTCTCCCTAATCTTCCCGCTGTAATTGGACAGTCTGTGTGATGCTTTACTATCTCTGTATCTTTTTGTTCATCAGTTTATATTTTCTTAGGTTTTCAAAGATAAGAAATGACAACAGTTTTTATTTTTATGCCAGAACCTTTTGTTTTAAATGGTTGTGCTAGGATGAGGCCTGCAGGGGTGGAGATGGTTCGAATAGGAAAGGAATGGCTGCTTTTTTTTCTACGAGGAGGCTACAAATGAGTTCATGAAAAAATACTAACGTATGAAAACAGAAAAACCCAACCTCCAGTACAAGTTAGCATACTCATACTGTATGTGTACCTGTTGTTGCCATTAGTTGCTT